AAAAAAAAAAAAAAAATTACAATCTGAATGGACAATATAAATATCTAAGGATACAAAATGTCACTCCTGCAAAGAAACACTGGCATAAAGCTGAGTCTGAAACAACTGCTGCTGTGAAATGTTACCAGCAGAAATTTTGAGTAAGTGGACATTTCAATGCTACCCAAGAAACTGGAGACCTCAGTCTGTACAACTTTGAAAGACAAGAAAATTTCACACAAATCATTTAATTTCTTTCAACTCTGTTCACAAATTCACTTACTAAACATAAAAATCCAAAGCACAAATGAATACATTTACACTTATCTGAAAATGTTTATATTGTGTCCTTGATGTCTCTCCTAGTATTGAGACCCTACAAGACATCCTGCTTGGATGTCCCTCAGGCCTCCCAATTCCATGTTTTGAATTACCTATTTCAAGAAATAGCATCTACTCATCTACCTATTCACTCGTCAGAACGCTCAAATATTCTGGACTCATTACTTACCACCCACATTTTCCCTAATACCTCACAACCATACCTCCCTCATGGCCTTTGTCACCAACCTGCCTCTGACCAATCTTTACTCCTAAGCTGCTACATTAACCTCCCTCAATTTACTGGCTCCACCTAGTGCCCTGTCCAACTCTCCAGAGAGAATCAGCATCGTGATTCTTATGATTACCACTTTTCTTTTAAAGGCTTCAATAAATATTTTTAAATCCTCAGCACAGCAATACCAGTTACCTGCTTACCTCTTCTAACCTCATAACCTGATACTAACATGATTTCTCAGTCTAGAGTAAGTATCTTTACTCCTTCACCTCTATCTAATCACTCCTACCGACTTTTAAAGATTGACCTTCTCCAGTATAGAAAAGGTATCCTGCTTTAAACTTTCACTGTATGCTCTACATACCTTTAAATTGTATCACAAATTTTTTACTAAATACAAGCCAGTTATGGGGATACAAAGGTGAACAAAACACAATCCTAGACTTTAAGCACAGTGGAGGCAGCAAAATAAAGTCAACTGCAATATGGTCTGATAACTTTTTTTAAGCTAACACCTGAGTGTTTATTATATGCCAGGCATCAAGCTAAGGATTTGCCATGTACTATCTCAGTTACATCTCCAATAACCTTATGATTTCCACTGTACAGTGAAGGAAAACTAAAAGTTCTGTTATTTGCCCAAGGTTCAATTAAACTTTAGAACTGAGATAGGAATCCAAGTCTGACTCTAGACCTGAAGCTCTTAATCACCAGCCCTTTATTTCTACTGCCACAGCATTTAATTCAGTTTCCCCAGTGGCCAGCACACAGCAGGTACAAAATGTATACTTGTGAAATAAATGAACTTGATTGTTGAAGTTCTAAACTAGTGACTTAACAGCAATATTACCAATACTTAACATCAATGTTATGGTAATAGAACATCAATACATTATTGATATAATGACAATGTCAATACTACAACTTTTAAGTGGTAGTCTCCTGCTTCAAAGAGTTCAAAAGCTAACACTGTTAGTGTATTTATTAAATACACTAACAAATGTGAAAAGATCAATATCATACCAAGTGAGTCATCATGTCATCGCTGGTAATAGCAAAATACTGGAAATTAATGTCTATCAGAAGCAGACCCGTTAAACAAATCATAGTCTATCCCACATCACGGTCTATCCATATGCTATTGTCTCAGTGTGTCCTCCCAAAATTTGTATGTTGATACTTCATCACTATAAGACCTTATAGAAGAGGTGCTTCACCCTTTTGCCCCTTCTACTTACTATACTAGGGAACAGCATTTGTTCCCTCCAAAGGAAGTAGCATTTAAGATGCCATCTTAGAAGCAGAGACACCAAACCTGCTGGCACTGTGATCCTGGACTTCCTAGTTTCCAGAATGGTAAGAAATAGATTGTTGTTCCTTATAAATTACCCAATCTCAGGTATTTTGCTGGAGCAGCACAAACAGACTGAGATACCATATAACAGTTATGCAGCTGTATAAAAGAGTAAGAATGCTCTTTATTTACTGACATGGAATAATCCAAGGTACACTCATTGGAAAGAAACAAGGTGGGAAACAATGTGTCTTGCTACCAAGGGTGGGGGCAGAAAGGATATATGCTTTTAACTTCCACATGCAAAAAACATCTTTGGAAGAACACACAAGAAACTGTTAACACAGGATGCCTGAGGAGTAGTAAACTGGGTGACTTGGGGGTAGAAGGAAGGAGGTTTCACTGTATTTCTGTTTAACCTTCTGAATTTTGAACCAAGTGATTATATTACCTATTAAAAAAAACTCCCAATAAAATTTTTAAAAAGCAATTTTAGAAATGAAAACAGAAACATCATATCATCCATGGCCATAGCTTTCTTGACTGCTATGGTGTCAACGTGTCTGATTCTTGCTGGAGTCAAATATTGGTTTAAATCAATGAGCAAAGTTTACAAAAGTTTCAAATTACCACTTCAAGAATATTTCAAATATATTTTATAAGGAATAGCATAACTGGTGGAAAATGGTTTTGATTTTCCTGAAAACAGTCAATCAGAGCCAAAGATTTTCAAAGCCTCATCCCAGGCCTATCGTTTATCAAAGTGTGAAACACCACAAGAATCTGTATTTTTTGAAAAACACCACGATGATCATTTTATTTGGAATCTTATATAATAAAGAACTTATGGGGGTGGGGAGACTTTAGAAAGTTACCCAGAAAGAACACTTTAGATGACTCAACTGTATACATATATCAGTAAAGCTGTTAAAAAAATAAATTAAAAAAAAAAAAAAAAAAAAAAAATAAAAAAAAAAAAAAAAAAAAAAAAAGATAAAAAAAAAAAAAAAAAAAAAAAAAAAAAAACACAAATTCATGGCTATTAGAAATCTTATCAGTGGTTACCTGGGGCAGTAGAAGGAGAATTCCAACAGGGCACAAGAAATTCTGGGATGGTGGAAATATTCTATATCTTGATTAGAATAAGGGCTACAAGATGTGCATATGCACACGTCAGCAATTCATTGAACTAAATACTTAAAATCCATGTATTTTATTGTATTAAAGTATACAATAATCAATACAGCTACTTGGTAATTTGGAAAGCATTTGGATATGTAGATTCCTAAGTCGCTCTCCCAGAGATTGCTAATCAGTGGGTCTATCAAGGGAACCAGTTAATCTGCATTTTTAATTCCAGGCCATCGTGGACCTTTCAGGCATAAAGGTCATCAATCATACTTCGGAAAATACTGACCTAGCATAATATTCCATGTCCAGTAATTACTGATCATGCTTTGCAAAAATACATAAATTAATGATAACTTAAGACAAAAAAAAATTAGGTAATTTTGATTCCCAAGTTTAGAAAATACTAATATTGGCAGGGTACGGTGGCTCACACCTGTAATCGCAGCACTTTCGGAGGCCGAGGCGGGTGGATCACGAGGTCAGGAGTTCGAGTCCAGCCTTACTAACATGGTGAAACCCCGTTTCTACTAAAAATACCAAAATTAGCCAGGAGTGGTGACGCACACCTGCAATCCCAGCTACCCGGGAGGCTGAGGTAGGAGAATTGCTTGAACCCGGGAGACAGGGGATGCAGTGAGCCGAGATCCCACCACTGCACTCTAGCCTGGGAGACAGAGCGAGACTCTGTCTCAAAAAAAAAAAAAAAAAAAAAAAAAAAAAAAATACTAAGAATATTAAGCGGTAGGAGTTCCAGGAGGAAGAACTAAGGAGTAAGACAGTTAGGAAAGCTTGTTCCTTCTTCCCCATCTCCTACAATCCTTCAATAGCTCTCCATCACGTAACTGCAGTGGTTCTCAACCATGGATGATTCTTCTCCCCCAGGTGACATTTGGCAATCTCTGCAGACATTTTTTTTGTTTCACAACCAGACAGAGCATGTGCTACTGCTATCTTAGCACAATGACAGCAGGGATGCTGGTAAATATTCTGCAATGCACAAGACAGCCCTCCCCTCCCCCAAATAATTATAAAACCTCAAATGAGAAACTCTGACCTGGAGTCTCACCTCCAATGAAGCTACCAAAAGTAGTCAAGTTATGGCCCAGAGTTAAACAAAGCAACAGAATTAACATGTTACAACTTCAGGAAAGTCCGTTTTTACATCCAGAATAGTGGGGAAGTAGGAAGGATATCATCTTTATATTTTACATAAAGCAAACACAGAATAAAATGCAAATGCCACATGAATACCTAAGACTTAAAAAACTTCAAAATAATGTAAGCAGGAGAAGCTTCAGGCTATCCCCTCAATAACAGGGTATTTACATATTCTCGTCAGCTTTCAAAGTATAGTATTTTTAAAGTTAACACTGGCCTAAAATATAATATTGTACATAAACTTTAGCATGACAATCTGTTTGTTGCTACCACACAGTCTAGCATAGTGCTATGCAAAGTACAGTCTGTGGACCAGTGAGCCGGTCTGAGAATTATCAGTTTAAGTCAGAGAAACATAGAAATTGAGAGCACAAAAAATTGGAAATTTTAACAGCAGAATAATTTACATCTATTGAAATAAATAATAAAAAATTGGGGCTTATAATTTATCTTTCTTATTCCATTTCTACTTTTTTTTATCTGCAGTACAGTCATGCACTACATAACAATGTTTTGGTCAATAACGGACCACATTTATGACAGTGGTCCCATAAGATTACCATGGAGCCAAAAAAATTCGTATCACCTGTGATATCACAGCAGTCATACGTTCACAGCACAGAACATCATCTCTTCTATGTTTAGAAACACAAACACTTGGCTGGGTGTGATGGCTCAGTCCTGTAATCCCAGCACTTTGGGAGGCCAAGGCAGGAGGATCACTTGAGGTCAAGAGTTCGAGACCAACCTAGCCAACAAGGTGAAACCCATCTCTACTAAAGATACAAAAATTAGCTGAGCATGGTGGCAAGAGCCTATAATCCCAGCTACTCAGGAGGCTGAGGCAGGCCAATTGCTTGAACCCGGTAGGCAGAGGTTGCAGTGAGCCAAGATACCGCCATTGCACTCCAGCCTGGGAGGCAAGAGCAAAATTCCATCACAAAAAAAAAAAAAAAAAAAAAAAAAAAAAAAAAAAAAAAAAAAAAAAAAAAAAAAAAAAAAAACACCCCACAAATACTTACCATTACCATTGTGTCATAACTGTCTACAGTAGTCAGTACAATAACAAGCTGTACAAGCTCATAGCCTAGAAGCAATAGGATATAGCCTAAGTGTGTAGTAAGCTTTACCATCTAGGTTTGTGTAGGTACACTCTACATCTCAATGTATCCCTATTAACAATGCATAACTGTGCTTTTTAAAATTATAATCAAACCTACTCTGACTGATACATCTAGTGAGTAGCAAAGCCAAGATTTGAATCCATATCTAACAACAAAGCCGTTCTTAATCATTACTGTTAAGATTTTGAACTGAAACTCCAATGTGTAATCCCTACATCTGGATAGCTGGAATGCACCAAGTGTTAAGTCACAAGGTCTTAGTACGTCTGGCCTAAGGCCTTTAACACTAAAAGCCAGCCAAGCTGCCTCTTTGACCCTTCTTCCCCAAGCCCATGCTCAAAGTTTAGTCTCCAGAACTCTGATCATGCAAAAGGACACGGGAAGACAAAAACAAAGAAAAGATTCATCCTCAAGGCCTAGAAGCAGAGTCACTGAATGCTACTCTTTTCTCTTTTGGAAACCACCCTGGTTTCTGGCTATGGGGGATAATATCCTCTCAAATAGGAGTAGGCCCCAGGTCTCTCTAATCAATGCTAGCTATATGGAGTACAGAATAAATGAATCCAAAACAAACAAAAAAAAGCCACATGGACTTAATAGTCTATAACTTTAAAGCCTTCCTCATACCAAGACCTCCAACCCCTAACGTAAGTTTCAAAGACCTTAGATATGACTCATCCATACTACATATTTTAACCAGAATCCTTTGAAAAAATTACATCCCAACCCCGTACACAATATCTGAAAGAAGAATTTAACTTCCCTCAAAAAAATCCGTATTAAGTGCAATGACCTATTTTGGTCCAAAGTAATTGCGGTTTTTGCCATTACTTTCAATGGCAATATTTATTTTCTCTTCTTAAATATTAGTAAAAATTCACAAAATTATTTCAAGACCCACTAATGGGTCACAACCTGCAGCCTTCGAAACACTGCTATACAGTTCAATGGTTTACATTTAACAGTATATTCTCATCTAGCAAACTAAACCCATAATCAAACTACCTTAAAATTCTACTCCTTAAAAACATCATTTTTCTTCATTTTCTATTACATAATAAAGTTTACATCTTTACAGTCCAAACGTAGTACAGAAAAAGAAATACACAAAAAGTTTTGTCTAAAAACTTAGTAAAATACATAAATTAGTTTAAAATGTTCAACTTCTAATCAAAAATTGAAGATAGCTTATCAAGTCAAAATGTGAAACACATTTCAGCAGGCAATTTAGTCAGGTAAGAATCGGCAATTCCCAGAACACAGTCTACAATAAATATGTATATCATCAAATTATAAGTCTGAAACTCATCTGCTCTACCACTATCCTTATTATGACTGGTGCCCTCATCTGATCACTCTCCATTACTGAGATCTTAGAAGCGAAAGATCTAACTCTTCTTCCTCCCTCTTTCCCCCCATGCTTTGCTGTTGTTGTTGTTCTGGCATATTCCTCTAAATTCCCCTAGGGTCTGTAAGGAGTCCTAACTTGTCTTAGACTTGTTCAGAAGTTCCGGTATGGATTTACTTAAAATTACTTATATGGGAAAATGTGCAAATCCGAACAACCAATTTTATCACAAACTTCTGAAATAAAATCTTTTATACTACATTTCATGTATTATGTATGCGTCAAATATTTCCAAACCAAAGCCTACAACAAAAATTATTAAGCTATATTAGAAAAAAAACAATATCCTTCCTTTTTAAAAGACAAGAACTAATTAAAACCAACTTAACATAAATTTCTGTTATTTGCTGTGAACCTGACTTCTGTAAGCCTAAAAACACCTGCGGTATTTTTAATAACTGTATTAAGATCTGGTTCCATCATGTTGTCCCATCACAGAATAACACAATGCTATCATGCAAATCACCTGTGTAGCTTCCACATTTATTGCATAGCCTCGCTCAACTGAACAGATGAATGGGATGAAAGATTGTTTATTGCTCTCCCGCCACCGTTCCCCCCACTCCACCACAACCACCCAACTACCCTTTACTCCTTCCCTTGCAGTCTGAAGAAATAAAGAACCCAAGCAGCAGTAACTGATTTGGTCATTGTTTATATTCCCCCCTTCGGTGTATCAGGATTCTACAAGTTTCATCCCTACCTGTATACTTAAGTCTGAAATACTTTCCTCTCCAACTTGCACATAAATTTTAGGGGGGAAAACTGACTATACTTATCACCTGCATGTACATAAATATGTAAAACAGGTTAAATGCTTGTGGATCTAGGTTATCTGTTCATTAAGATTCTCAGAGGCACTAAGATATTCTTCCCTTTCATCAAAATAACAAAGCCAGAAGAAAGAATTCTTAAAGCTGAACTATTTAGCAATAAACTCTCAAGAATGTAATAAGTTATTATTTCAGTAACTAAGCAAACACCTGAACGTCACAAATTCTTTCCTAGGACTGTAAAAACCCAAATTTGTAACAGTGTACTCTCAAACAGTAACTTAGCAAATGGAAATGTCCTAGAAAAATCTCAGTTGCTTATTTCTTACTATATACACAGCTGAAATGGAACTCAGGAGTGGAAAATGTGAATGAAATGGTCTGTTCTTTTTCCAATATGTGGGGGAGGAAAGGAAATGAAAGGGCTCCTTAAAAGAATAACTGAGAATACTGAAATATTTTCAAAAATTAATTTCCCTAAACTTTGCCACTCCACATCTCCACTCCCTCCCTTTTCCAGGGACCCTTCCCACCCTTTCCATCTCCTCCGGGGGGCGCCCTTCCCAGACATTCTCTTTCCCCTATTCCTAAAAATTAAGCCCAAACACCAAACCAAACTCCGGACTCTCTATTCTCAAGACTCGCCCGCCATCCACCGGCCTTCCAAACTGCGCCTGGAGAGAGGCAACCCCGAGAGGCAGGAGAAGCGGGGAGGCGACGCGGTCACTAGGGCTGCTGCTACAACCGCCACTGCCGCCGCCTCCACTGCAGCCTCAGCCTGGTGCATCCTTCTTCCTCCCTCCCCGCCGCCGCCCTCCCGGGCTGGCCCACACAGCACCCTCGCCCGAGCGCTCACACTCGTCCCCACCCCTCCTCGCCAGGCCCACTGCCCCACGAGGGAACCTCTGCCGAGGGGGCTGCGGCCAGCGACAGAAGGAAGCGGAGCCACGGGCGCCGGCGGGCGCGGGAGGCGGCTGAGAGAAGGCGAAGGGACGGAAAGAAGCAAGGGCAGGGCTGAGACCACCCCGCTCAGGCTGCCCGGGCCGCGGAGGCCGCGGTTCTCCACCCCGAGGCCGGGGCCGGTCCGCCGCGGCACAGGAAATGCCGCCGCCTCGGCTCTCCTCACTTTCAATTCAAACTGTCACCGCCGCTGCCTCCCCTCCCCCCGGGCCCGCGGCCGCCGCGCCCCGGGCCCGCCGTCGCCCCCACCCCGGATCCCCTCGCCGCTGCCTCCGCCTCGCCTCAGGGCGTTCCCCGGCTCGGTCCAGCGGCCGCAAAGGTTCCCGGAATTCGGAGCCGCTGACCCCAAGTCCCGGCGGCCCGAAGCTGAGACTCACCCATGGTGCTGCTGTTGACGCTCCTCTCCTCAGCAGCAGCGGATCTCGCACTGACCGACATCCCCTCCCCCCCTGCGCGACCAGCCCAGGCGCGGCGCAGCGCAACCCGCCGATTCTCCAAAGGCGCCTACGCCGATTCCGCGGCGTAGCCGCCGGGCGTCGCTGCCCTGCTTACGCAAGCTACAGCAGGCTGACTCCACTGGCTCTCACCCGACTCCCGCTCCCTCCTCCATCCGCCGCCCCCTCGGCCGAGGCTTCCGGGCCGAGCGGAGGCTGGATTCCATCTCGCGAGATTACCTCTTCCCTAGCCCCGCCGCCTCGCTCCGTTTCGAGCATGACTTCATTAGCGTCAGCAACGTTTTGCTGTTCGGGTTTAGCCGCCATGTTTAAATTGGCCGGATTTCGCACCACTGAGGCCATGGATATTCGGGCCTCTCCGCGTGTTTCTTCAACACTGCCTCTAAGGTTAACTGCGTTACATTTGTTGGAGAAAATACTGGGGACGCTGCAAAGGAGTGGTCGGTGGGGTGCGAGGGTGGGGTCTTGCCCGAATTAAAGATGGCCGCTGTCATTTTGGCCCCGCGCTATTTCACGTCAAGTTTCGGAGCTGCGGGAGCCGCCCGGTTGGCCTCAGCGCCTCCTTACGGAATTGGCGTAAGGCAAAGAGGCGCGGCAGTAAGAAACAGACTGAGAAAGTGCCTCAGGGCGGGGGCCGCATCTGCCCCTCGTCTTCTAGCTACTGACCCGACGGCTTTGTGAGTGAAAGTGGACACTTCGAGGCAGGTGTCTGTGCCCCCATCCATCCGCGTTTCCTCTGCTTCCTTGACTTTCGGGGTGAAAAGTGAGGTTAGGCCCTGTTGCCCCCACCCTTACCTCGCGCTGTCACGCTCTGGTGGCCTGGCACACAGCCAAGAAGTCGGCCGCTGAAGCCCCCACTGCGGACTCTGCCGCCACTTTCGTGTTGGCTCACCTTATTGGTGCTCGGTTCGGTCTTCTTGGAGCTCACACTCCAGTTGAGGAAATGAATGGACACAGGAAACAACAACTAAAAGAGTAATAAAGGGCTAGGATTGTTTGATCTTCTGTGGCGATGAATGTTGCTCTGTCATTGGAACCTTCCCCAAGTGCCTTCTAGTGAAAGCCTTGCCTCACTCGGAATAACCTATGGTCTTTTGTACATTTCTTGAACCTAATGGCTCTCCTGGTTGTATTCACACACGTGTTATTTTTCCTGTTTAACTTCATGTTAAAGAAATGTGTACCTGTTTAACTGCATGTTAAAAATGTGTATGTGTATTTAAGTTATGAGCACCTGCAAGAAAGTTCAGAGCAGCATGCTTATTTTAGTGAAACAATAAATGTCTACCAATAGGAGAATGGATGAATAACTGTCTTGTTGAACAAATTGACATACGCAACACTAAAAATGAAAATCAGTGAACTAAAGCTACCATTTTTCATATGGGTAGGGTCATTAACATAATATTGAGGAAGAAAGGCAAGTTGCGGAAAGATGTATATGCCATACCGTAAATAAAAGTTTAATAATTTAAAAAAAGTAAGAACAAACAAAATCCTATAAGGAAATCATAGATATAAAATTCAGAATAATGGTTACTTCCAGAGAGGAAGAGAAGGGAATGTAACAGGAAGGGTTCATTTGTATCTGTGATGTTTCTTTTCTACCGGAAGTATTTTCAAAATGTGGCAAAACATTAAGCTAAATAGAGGGCACATGGGTGTTCACTTGTAATTATTTCCTTTATTGTTCTATGTACTTGAAATATTTCCAACTATTTTTTTTAAGAAAGGAAACTTACAGAAGCAACCTATTTTGTATCTTGATATATGCCATTTCATACGTCTACATTTTTATTGAACTGCTCATAAAGTCTGTTGCAACTCATCTGCACAACCAATCGTTGTTTTAAGTTTCTGAAGCTGCAAATGAACGTTTTACTTTAGGAAATTTTGTTAAATTTCAGTTTTGAAAAAAGCAGTGTAGCAAGAAGGGTAAATGCATAGCCTCTGGAGTCAGACTGCCTGAGTTCAAATCCCAACTCTACATTTATTAGGTTTGCGACCAAGGACAAGTTACTTACACTTTTCTGTGATCCAGTTTCCTCATCTGTAAACGGAGATAATACTTATCTAATAGGGTTTTGGTAAGAGTTAAATAGACTAATACATGAACACAGTGCTTAGACAATGCTTAATAAATATTACCTAAATATAGATTATTTTAAAATACAAAATTAAAGCAAATACATTTATTAATATAATCTTGGAAAGGAAGTAAATCTTTGCCTCCTATCTCTACTGATAATATTTCTTTGAGGAAGATCTTTTAATGGCTACGAAAGAGGTGAATTGTGTTATTTTGTGCTAAGAAAATGGATAAATTCTTAATATAAATAAATTCCTTGCCTGAGGTTTGTTCATGTTCTCATACTGACTTCACCCCACACTATTATAGCTTCACTACTTTTCATTGAAAATTACATGGAGTGTTACAGGCAATGAAATAATGATATCCTGAGGAACTTTCTTTGGAGGGAGGTTTAATAGCCAATGTTCTGTAGTGTATATACCTGTATATACGTGTGTGTTATGCAAATTATACGTGGAGCATGAGGAAAGAATTGTATTGATTTTAAGATCTCTCTATTGCACTTTTTACTGTATTATAGTTGTTAATAAAATATAGCCTAGACTTGAACCTACTGACTTAGAAACAGGTTTTAAAAAAACTGATCTGAAGTTCTGGACAGATCATGTAGATGGTTTCTACCACGTATTTACAGTGTGCAAACTCCAGGAGGCCTTCAACTTTACCAAGCCATGCTTATGTTCCTAGTTGGCTCTCTCTTATTTACCACAACAGCCACTTCTGATTTTCTCCTTATTTTTCAAACCACCCTCCTCACTTATTCTCAAATAAGAGAATAGAAAAAAATAGAAACCATCAAAGAGGAACTCAGGCTGGGTGTGATGGGTCATGCCTGTAAACCAGCACTTTGGAAGGCTGAGGCAGGCACATCACCTGAGGTCAGGAGTTCGAGACCAGTCTGGCCAACATGGTAAAACCCCATCTGTACTAAAAAAGTACAAAATTAGCTGTGTGGTGGTGGGCGCCTAAAATCCCAGCTACTGGGGAGGCTGAGGCAAGAGAATTGCTTCAACCTGGGAGGTGGAAGTTGCAGTGGGCCAAGATCATGCCACTATATTCCAGCCTGGGCGACAGAGCGAGACTCCGTCTTAAAAAAAAAAAAAAAAAAAAAAAAAGGAACTCCAATATCTTTATTTTATGCCTCCACACTCATAGGCCTACTCACATCCACACCCATTCTTTCAGGTGTCACAAAAGATTAGGTGCCCACCTGTCTGAGACACATATCTCTGTCAATTCCCTGTATTCCATCTCTTTGTGCTTGTTCTCTAGGTTCTCTCTCCTGCCTTCCCAGGAACTGCAGTCAATGGGTTCTTTATTCAACAAGCTTCTGGATTCTGCAACTACCACTCCACTGAAATTCTCAACAAGGTCACCAACAACCTCTGTGTTCAATCCAGTAGACCCTTTGTCTTGTTTTCTTTTACCTCTGCAGCATTTGATACTAGAACCCTTGGCCTTCTGCATTCATAGCTTTTGATTTGTGAAACCACACTTTCCTAGTTTTCCTCCTAGATCTCTGTATATTTTACCTTTTAGGACCCCCTTCTGGCTGTCAAATATCCATGAACCTCAAAGTTGTGTGCAGTGGGTTTCTATCTCACATTTTCTAGTTGTTGTTGTTTTGTTTTTGACAGAGTCTCACTCTGTTGCCCAGGCTGGGGTGCAGTGGCACGATCTCAGCTCACAGCAACCTCCGCCTGCTGGGCTCAAGCAATTCTCCTACCTCAGCCTCCCAAGTAGCTGGGATTACAGGAACTCACCACCACACCCACCTAAGTTTTATATTTTTAGTAGAGACGGGGTTTCACCATGCTAGTGAGGCTGGTCTTGAAGTCCTATCCCCCCCGCCTCTGCCTCCCAAAGTGCTGGGATTACAGGCGTGAGCCACCGTGCCTGGCCCTATCTTTTTACATTCTCCCTTATGTGGTCTCATTCACCTCCATGGCTTCAGCCACCTAATATATCCACGGTAACTCCTAATGCAAATTTCTAGTCCAGTTCTCTCTTCTGACTACAAATCTACATATCTTACTGCCTTCAAAATATCTGTCCTGAATGTTCCAAAACATCTAAAAAAAATTCCAGACTAAACTATTTTACCAGCTTTTATGTTTCTAATCTCTAAATGGTATTGTCAACCCAGTTTTGTAAAACAGAAATTTGGGTATTATACTCAGCCCTTTTCTCTCTCTTACCTCCTACAGCCATTAGAAAGCTCTGTAAGTTTTTCCTTCTCAACTCTCCCTAATTTTCCATTTCTGTCCACTTCATTACTATTCTAGTTAAGCCAATATTATCTCCTGCCTCAACTCCTTGCAGTAGCTTTTCTGACTGGTGCCTTGTTATACTGCAACTCCTTCACATTGTACCCAGAGTGACCTTTGTTTGTTTTTTGTTGTTTGTTTGTTTTTTTGTTTTGTTTTGTTTTGTTTTTTTGAGATGGAGACTTGCCCTGGCCAGGCTGGAGTGCAGTGGCGCGATCTCGGCTCATGGCAACCTCCGCCTCCAAGGTTCAAGCGATTCTTCTGCCTCAGCCTCCCGAGTAGCTGGGTGCGTGCCACCATGCCTGGCTAATTTTTTTGTATTTTAGTAGACAGGGTTTCACCATGTTGGCCAGGATGGTCTTATCTTCTGACCTGGTGATCTGCTTGCCTCGGCCTCCCAAAGTGCTGGGATTACAGGCATGAGCCACCGCGCCCAGCCCCAGAGTGACCTTTCTAAACTTTAACTGTGTCAGTCCCCTGTTTAAAGTCTTAAAATTTTCCCTGAGGAAATTTGCATGACACATTCCCTCATTTCTGGATAATCTTCTATATCTTACTCGCTCTAAATTCTAGTAAGCCTTGCTGCTCCACTTCACTTTCCTTTTTACACTTGCATTCCTTACCTGGTTTTCCTTTAGCTCTCATTTTCTCTAAAAGCCTTCCTTGATCACCAAAGACTAGGCTAGGTACTCTCTCAACTCCCACAGTGTCTTGTGTTTACTCCTGTGGTGATACTACCAGCAGAGTTTTGTAAATACCTGTCTCTCTTCCACTTAAGAGAGACAAGTCTAAGTCTAAACTCCTTAAAATCAGGATCTCTTGTCTTGTCCACCTCTGTAGCCTCGGCACCTAGCCCAGGATATGATATTCATTACTTTATTCAACAACTGCTTCTTGAGTGGTAATTGGATACTAGGCACTACTACGGTGGTTAAAGTATGGAATGGGGAAACCTCAAGAGGGAATCTCTGAGATGTGCCAAGAGGTCAGTGTCTTAATTACAATACTAAGACGCATTTTCTACCTTTTTGTTCCCATTCTTTCATGAGCACATAGTGTCATTTTCCAGATTCTGTGTGAAGTGTGATATTACAACAGCTTGAATGCAAAAACACAAAATAATCCAACTGTCTTCTATTAAGCTAGGCATTACAGGGATTTGCAAAGATGTAAAGCAATGGTACTCCAAACTTTCTTGGTTGTTGTTTTGGAAGATACAGTTATTTTTCATCAAAATCCATTTTTGATGTTATCATGTAATGGTTTATTGCTATTTGATGAATTTTAATGAATTGGTTTTTTAATGAAGTAGCGATATTTTAAAATTTTCTCAGTTTTAATTTTTAATACAGTAAATATCAATAGATATATTTCACATGAAGAAAAACTCTCTGGGGTTCTCAATAATGTTTAAGAATGTAAAGGAGGCCAGGCGTGGTGGCTCACGCCTGTAATCCCAGCACTTTGGGAGGCCGAGGCGGGTGGATCACGAGGTCAAGAGGTCGAGACCACCCTGGTCAACAAGGTGAAACCCCGTCTCTACTAAAAATACAAAAA